ATCACACACGTCGTTGGCAGTGCCGGTGGGGTGATGATACTGTCTGCGCGCGTAGGACTTGCTATGAGATTTGTGAGCTACACGTGTCGTTGGCAGTGTCGGCGTGTGAGCTATGGAGTTCCGTCCCCCGGTTGGACTACTCATCCTTGGATGCGGGTTAGTGTTCGGAAATCCTGCGTACCAGCCAAACAATCCCCCGGTTGGATTGTTTTCCCCGGTACATTAGTATGGAGAGAAGTATACGTTATATTATAGATATATATATATATGTATACATATGTATGGGTTGGCGAGAGTTGCATACTTTTGGGAATGGAGTTGTGGTTTGAGAATTTGAGAGTTATTTGGACTTTGAGATTTTATGTTTGAGTATTTGGTTTTTGGATGTGGAAACTGCATGCTTGAGCATTATTTTTACACGGTGGGGTTACTATGTTGTTTTAAATGCAAACTTTATTTTTGTCCACTCACATATTTCTGTTTTGCGCCCCCTGGCAGTAGTGGCTCTTGGAAGCGTTCGAGCTCAAACATTTCCATCTGTAGATAGGACTTGTGTAAATTCCTTCTACTCTACTGTTGTTGTAAACAAATCCTGTTAGATGCTCTGTTATGGCCCATGTTAGGTTGTTACTTGAGGCCGGAGGCCACTTTATTTTGGATTGTTGGATGTTAAAAGCATGCTGGCAGTTGGGATTCATTTTATGTAAATTATGCAAGTTAAATATTGTTGGGTTTGAGCATTTTACAGGGGAGACTCTGCCAAAATTTTGGTAGGATGTCTTGGGTTTTTAGTAAGTGGGCCCGGCATCGGTGTGATGTCGGCACCAAGACGGGGTCCGCCCTGGTTTCAGAGGAAATTCTGGGGCGGGTCCTGTCACCTAGCCCATTTGGTAAACTATGATAAAATCACTTATTGTTAAAAATTGTTGTGAGAGAAAACTATAAGGGAAAGCAGCTAATGAGGTGCTTTCATTTTCTGATTATGCGGGAATTAGTAGCATCAACAATTTTAACAAAAAGTTTACCAAACGCCAAACTGCTTTCTCTCATAGCAAATCTAACAGCGATTATTTTCACAGCACAGTAATGTCAAACTGGTCCTATATTTCATTTTTCACTTATTCTATGGTTTTCATTTTGCATGTTTGTCACGTGAATGATATCAAGAGGTTGCAAATTTATTGATGGCGGTTAGTTGCTGGAAACAGTGGGTTCTAAAACTGACCTCATTGTTTGCATCTTTTTTTCTTATTGGATCAAATGGAGAAATATCTATTTAGATTTGAAATTCTGCATTTCTGAAATATATTGTGTTGGTGTTACTTGTGTACATACCTTATCTGTTATAAGACATTAGCATGACAACAAACTGTCCTATGCCACAGAAATCAGCTGGCGGAGTTTTGCTGCCCAAATCAGCCGTTAAATTGGAGCAGTATCTTATGGGAGAAGTATGCCTACTATTTCTGTCTCGTTATGATTAATTTTCGTTTTGAAGTAACAAGTTGAATCTCGGGATAATCTAACAAGCATTGTTATTCTCATATTCTATCTGTTGGTGATGAGGTTGGGGAAGTGAAGGCTGGAAAGAAGGTAAGCAATTAAAACGTTCTCAAATAATGGAAACTTTTTTTTGGTCTGAATTAATGTTGATTTGTGATATATATTGTTGCTTTAGACAATAAGTTTCACAGCTAGTGAAGTTTTTTGTTGTTTAATGTTTTATTTCCAAGTAGTGATTTAGATGCTTACCATGTCATCTAAATTTTGAAATGCTTATCCTTTTACAGGTTCTTTTCTCGGACATAAAAGCATATGAGGTAATTAGAATTAATTCAGTTGAAAATATCATACAGCCCTGATGTTAAGAGTCTAAAAAATAGACATTGATGAGGGACTTCCATATATGAGTATTATTCTACTCATGGTTTTGCTGTGGTTTTATTCCATCACATTATTAACCTGTGCGTTATAACTTCTGGATGCCTATAATAGAAACGCACTGACCTCGTAGAGCGAAATGTTATACTTAACAATTATCTTGTTTCCTTTGCTCTGACCTCATAATTATCAAATATCTAATCCCAGTTGGCTAGCATGATTGTTTGTTGCCAATTCCCCACTCCACCACCCCAGTTATAGTTGTAATAGAAAAACACTTTTGAAGTATATGTTTTCTTTTACTGATAATGCATTTTTGATGTATCAGGTGGATTTGGGAACAGATGGTAGGCACTGCTTCTGCAAAGAGAGTGAATTGTTGGCCGTAGTTGAATAGTTTCAGCTACCGTGTTGTCAAGATGTTTTTCCATGCAGTGTCTCCAACTCCCAAAACTATATATTTAGTTTAAATTTGTTAGACTTATTATCACAAAACGTCCCTAAGGTTTACGAAACTATCATATTGCATCTTTAATGTTTTTTTTGTGTCATTTGCGATTTTTTTAATTTTTTCATTTAAAATTCATAAAATTTTGCTCTTCTTTTTAAAATTTTATGAATTTTAAATTATTTAAAAATATATATTATATTTTAAATACATGTGACTATATTATTGTAGATGTGGGCTCCATATATATGCCACATCAACAAACTAATGGAGTTTTTAAAAAATAATTTAAAATTCATAAAATTGATTTAAAATTCATAAAATTTAAAAATGAAAAACCTAAGGATTTAGGGTTCATAAATGGTCCTCAAGATTAAAATCCTTATATAAATGGTTTTTTCATTTATAAATAATTTATAAAAGAAAATCAAAATTTTATGAATTTTAAATAAGAAAAATTAAAAAATTTTGCAGGGACCATTTGTGATAGCATATATTAACCTTGAGGACCACTGAGTGACAAAAAAAAAATATTACAAATGCAATCTGATAGTTTCGTAAACCTTAAGGACGTTTGTGATAATAAGCCAATTTGTTAAGTACGTACTCTTTCTGCATTGATAGCATGGGTTTTGTATGATTTAATCTTGAATGTAGACACGCTAGAGATATTGATAAAGAATTGGAAGGAGACTAAAGGTGAGGGGAGGGGAAGGCATGATTTTAAGGAAGAGGTCTGCCATTTGGATTTTTCAAAACCTTCGTTCAACCCAGTCCTAAGCTTTAAGTATTAATCTGGGTATTTCTTGGGATTTTATTTTTTCGTTGTTTTTTCCTTCGGTGAATGATTTATTGGATACCTGCACTATAAGCTTGGCTCTGACAAATTATCAAATAAGAAGAAAATTTTACAAAGGAATATTATGAGAAAAACATAAGACAAATAAACTAGGTATACCTTGTGATGAAAAAGAAGTGTTTTTTGTAACCAAAGGTGTTGCTCAGATGGAAATTTTTTGTGAGAAAATAAAGCTAGGGATTAAAACTCGACTCATTCAAAGTCTACATACGTTTAAGATACTTTTCAACAGAGTTGAAAAAGTCAGCCAATCGATACTTGACTTGTAGCATCTACAATGATATATTTTCCAAACACGACTTTGGAAGCTGAAAACAGATGGCTTCATGTCAAAACTAATTAATTTCCAAAGAAATATCCTATTCCTTCATACGGTCCCACATGAGCATTTATAGTATCATTGAACCATTCTCTGTATGAGACTACAGGAAGAATTAAGGTATGACCTCAAAAGTCATGTGTCTTTTGATGGGATTTCTGTGGGTCCAAAGTTATTATGCAACATGCTGCTTATAAATTGCACTTCTATATTTCAAGACATCATCTCACTGGTTTAGAGCTGATGTTATATATGGAGCTTCACAAGCACATAAATCCACCTCTGTTTTTCACATATTTGTGTGTGCATGCTCTTATTTTGCACTCATGCCTTGGCTTGAGACTGAGTGGAAATGAGACGGATCGACTGGCCTTGCTTGAAATCAGGGCTAGGATAACCGAAGACCCTTTTGGAGTCTTGAATTCGTGGAATGCAACCGTCCACTTCTGCGGTTGGCATGGAGTTACATGCAGTCAACGTCACCAGAGGGTCACGAGGTTGGACCTGCAGTCCTTGAAACTTGCAGGCTCTATATCACCACATATTGGAAACTTGAGTTTCTTGAAAGAACTTTATCTCCAAAACAACAGCCTCAGCAATGAGATACCTCAAGATGTCAGTCGTCTGCGCAGATTGCAATATTTATTATTGCAAAATAATTCACTGAGCGGCGAAATACCCTCCAACTTATCAAGTTGCTCCCAACTTATCAGAATTGCTTTTGGTTTCAATCTGCTGGGAGGAAGAATTCCTGAGGACCTTGGCACCTTGTCCAAGCTAAGAACAATTTCAATTCACGACAACCACTTTACAGGGAGTGTCCCAAAATCTTTTACCAACATATCCTCACTTGAAATAATCTCTGCAACTTCTAATAATTTCAGTGGGAGTATTCCAGATACTTTTGGCCAAATGACCAATCTCGCTTTTCTTGGATTTGATGCAAATAGCTTGTCTGGTACGATTCCTCCCTCGATCTTTAATCTCTCTTCCATCCGAACCTTTTCTGTGTCACTTAACCAAATTCGAGGGACTTTGCCCTCGAACTTATTTGTTGCCATTCCACATCTTGAATATTTTGGTATTGGTACGAACCAATTTAGTGGACCTATTCCTGTTTCACTCTCTAATGCTTCAAGTCTGCGTCATCTTGGATTGGGAGAAAACAGACTACATGGAAAAGTCCCTTCTTTAGAAAATTTACGCAGCCTTGAGAGGTTACTTCTTGCTGGCAACCATCTAGGAAGTGGGGGAGTTGGTGACTTGAGCTTTCTTTGCGATTTAACTAATGCAACTAGTTTACAGAGGCTGGAAATTCAAAATAATGATTTTGGGGCTGCCTTGCCTCAATGTATAGCCAACTTATCTTCTTCTCTTTTACAGTTCCATGCAAGTGAATGTAAAATAGTAGGAAGCATACCAAATGGGATTGGAAATCTGGTTAACTTGGAGAGCTTATGGCTGTCTTCCAACCATTTTTCAGGTCACATCCCCCATGATGTTGGAAAGCTTCAGAACTTATATCAACTAAATATGGGTCTGAACTCTCTCTCAGGGAATGTGCCATCCTCTTTTGCAAATTTAAGTCGATTAACTAGATTATATTTACATAGCAACAACCTTCAAGGCAATATCCCTTTGAGTACTTTAGCTGGGTGTCAGAATTTGATGATGTTCTCTCTCGGTGATAACAATTTCAGTGGAATTATATCCCAAGAAGTCATTGACCGTATGTCGTCTTCATACACTGTTTTCGATTTATCCCGAAATCGTTTGACTGGTTCCATTCCCAAAGAAATAGGACCTTTCCTAAATCTGGAGTTCTTAGATATCTCAAGAAACATGTTATCTGGTGAAATTCCGCCAACTCTTGGTAGTTGCATCAAATTAGAGTATCTAGACATGCATGAAAACTTCTTCCGAGGGAACATTCCGTCATCTATGGCTTCACTAAGAGGTATTGTAGAATTGTATCTGTCTCATAACAACTTGTCAGGCATGATCCCAGAATTCTTGGAGCGTTTTCAATTTCTCCAGTCTTTGAATCTCTCTTATAACAATTTTGTGGGCATGGTACCAATGAAAGGTGTTTTCAATAGCACAAGTAGTACATCAGTTGAAGGAAGTAGTAAACTTTGTGGCGGCATACCTGACTTTCATTTGCCAGAATGCAAATTGCGACATTCGGAGAAGAGAGGGTTGAGCCTAAACTTGAAATGGATAATCTCTCTTGTTTTTGGCCTTCTTGGACTCACATTTGCGATTGTTTTTTCGTACGTTTGTTGCTTAAGGCAGGAAAGAAAGGAGGACACTTGAAGTGATTCAGGAGGACACTTCAAGTGATTCAGAAGAATTTCTCAGGGTATCTTACCAAAGTCTTCTAAAGGCAACAAACGAATTCTCCATTGCTAAACTGATTGGCATGGGAAGTTTAGGGTCTGTTTATAAAGGAGTACTTGAAGATGGTGGAACAACAATTGCCATCAAGGTTTTCAATCTCGTTCGTCGTGGAGCCTACAAAAGTTTCACTGCTGAGTGTGAGGCTTTGAAAAATATAGGACACGTAATCTTGTGAAAGTACTCTCGGTGTGTTCAGGTTCTGACTATCGCGGTAATGATTTCAAGGCCTTAATTTATGAGTTCATGGTTAATGGAAGTTTAGAGGAATGGTTGCATCCTGCTGGAACAAATGGAGAGATAAATGATGGGCAAAGGAGCTTAACTTTTTGTCAAAGATTGAACATAGCGATTGACGTTGCTATGGCGTTAGAGTATCTCCATCATCATTGTCATACACCAACAGTTCACTGCGACCTTAAACCCAGCAACGTGCTTCTCGACGATGATATGATTGGACATGTAGGTGACTTTGGGTTGGTAAAATTCCTCCCCATAACTTCTCAAACCAGTTCTGGTATGTTGAGAATTAAGCTACTTACTGAGCTCAATACAAACTGCAGATGACAATCCTGCAGATTAGTGCTGAGAAGAATGAAGAAGAAGAACTTTCCTTTCTAGGAAGTAGACATTAGCTTCTCTATTCTATTTTGGGATAATTCCTACAGCTGTCTTTTTGTCTTTTCTAATCTGTACTGTGATAACCGATTCTAGCCTAGGTGTAAGAATCGTAGCCTCCAATGATCATGTATGGTAGGAGATGAGTCCGTGTGTCCTAAAATTTAGGATCTAAGTTTTTGGCAATATGTGTCATGTATATGAGCTGTTTTGGCTCAGTTTTTATACACAGAAAAATATACTGAACATTCTCATTCTCTCTGAGTTTTTCCTTCCTCTACATAAACATTTCTATACCAAAATCAACATGGTATCAGAGCCAGGTTGAATCCAGAGAGGGGCGTGAGCTGTGAGAAAGAGGGCTTTCCTGAAATTCCTAAGAAGGATAAAGGTTGCTCTTTTATTGCTTGGTTCACTGAGACTCACTAGGAAAATGATGGGATCAGGTTCTTCAGGTGGAGATTTACGAACTCCACAGTTTGATGGTGCAAACTATGATTTTTGGTCAGTCAAAATGGAAACTATTCTCATAGCATATGATCTATGGGATATAGTAGAGGTTGGAATACAACCACAACCGATTCTAAAGGAGGAAGAAGGCTCTGGAGATGAAGGAAGTGAGGCTGAGCAAGTTCCAGTGGAAGCACCAGCTATCTCTAGAGAAGATAAGATCAAAAATGCCAAGGCATTAAGTCTTATTCAAGGAGCACTAACTGATGAGCTCTTTCCTCGCATCAGAAATGAGAAGACTGCAAA